TTGCATTACGGCCCCACCTATTCTGCAAGAGATGTTGAATGATTTCCAAGGCCAATACACACCCAATCTGCCTTCCAGTGTGTTTCATTTTATTTATTTTTTTTTTAGGCCCCCCCACTTCCTCCCTGCTCCACCACCTGTCTCCCATTGTAAGGAAACCTGCAGCATTGAATACCGATGGACAACATTGTACTATGGGGTTTTTTTTTTGTCAGTGATTTATTTTTTTCTTTGTGGCGCTCACAGTATTGTGTATTAAAATTCTAGACAATCCACAGATTTGTTTGTTGGTACTTGGGTGGACTGACCATTTAAAGGCCTGCTCGCCCATGGCCCAGAGTAAAACAAAGATGTTTTCACTTATTTAGTATGATTATATGTTGTTTATGTACTGTTTAGTCATGTACAGACTGTTCTTGATTCAAATCTCTCTGACACTCCCATTACTTTTGTTGCTGTCATTCTTTTTTCCTCTGTCAAGGAGGTTATTGTATCGGTATCTACTACTGGCCCGATTTGGCTGCAACATCGGCCAAAGAACAACCCGTTAGATCTTGGAGCAGATTGGTCTTGTTGAGGTCTGGGCTCTCTGAGTGCCCTTCTGGTTAGTTCACGGAGTCCGGTGCAGAACCTTTACGATCCGATTTGTATTGTCAGGGCCTAAAATGTGACCTTTTGCTTGTTACTCTTTTGGTCTCGTGTAGAACTCGTTGGGATCGCAGCTTCTTTGGCCGAGGTGGTGCTCATGCCTCTGATGTGACGTGACTCGTCTGCTTGGCTGTCTGCTGTGGAACACATCCATATGAAACATGTCCTTCGTCCCGTGCTTGTTACCATTTCCCCTGTCATGTGAGCGCTGCAGAGACTGATGGCTTTTTCAGATGCGCCCATGTGCTACTAGCTCCCGACCACAGTCAGCCAACCTACTCGTCACCTTTTTGATATCCTGCCATGTGTTTTTCCCTCTCTTGTTTATCTCTCCTCTCCTCTTACTTCATCTCTCGCGCTCTTTCATTTGCTCGGTATCAGAGGACATAGTAATCTTAAACTGCACATGTTTGCAGAGGAGGAACTGAGAACCATTCCAAAACCAGATTGATGCTGATACTTAAGTTAGAGTTTGAATGCAGGACTTTAACTTGCAACAGACTATTTCTTCACTGTAGTATTGTTACTTTTACTGAAGATCTGAATACCCATCTGGGACCTGAAATACCTTTGACTGACGACCTCTAAACATGCAGATTCCTTTTGTTTGCCCTTTTTGTAGTTTAAAGGTCGGAATAGTCATTGTATTATTCTCCACTCTCTGACAGTATCACATCTATTCTGTTTCAACCTTTTTCTTATCTCGCTATACTCAAGCTATTTGATGTTTACACTTTCCTTTTTTATGGCTGCATCGTTCCATCATATGGGAATATTTTCATGTAATGTTTGATTTCAGACGACACCTTTGTTATCTAGGTTTGAACAGTGTTCTGCTGCACAGCATTGAGTCGAGTTTCTATTGACTGTCACACCAGCGAAGATTTACTCCAAACTCCTCACTTGCTTTTGTTTCTCATTGAACCGTGGTTGAAGAAATGTTGACATAATTCTTCTGATTAAGCTCAACAACCATTCTTTTTTTTTTTTAATGTTTTGTCCTTTTGGTCTCCATGGCTATGAAGCATCACAGACCAGCCAAGCTGGTAGAGTGTGCAGTTCACTCACATTATATAAAGTGATGGCTTTGAGGTCCTCAAGCTTTTTGGAACAACCCGACATGCAGAAACCAGCTGATGCTGCATAATGAGCTGAATAAGTACAATCCAACATATTTAGATCAGAGCTAAAACACATGGCAACTCTTTCTGTTGCACCTAAAGGTCACCAAACAGCATGCAGTCATGACACCTTTCTGACTGACACATGTTGTTCTTCCCAGAGACAGATTGATACTCCTTCCGTGTTCTTGCAGTCAGCGTACCGTATCTTGTTTCTGTTACATTTTTCTTCGCGGGTCAAAAGACAAATCCATAAACCACGACTCTGTCATTCTGTTGGCAAGCAACTGGAAACGTAATGAGATATCAGAACGCTCTGGACCAACTGCTCTGCTTTTATCATCCGAGCCCTGCGATAACCCCGAACCCTTTTTTTTTATTCCAAATGAGCCGTCGGGGCCATCAGCAGTCATGCGGTACAAAGTGAGTCTTGGCTACGTCTCCGTCTCACTCGTTGGACTCCTCGACCCTCCATGAATGGAGCGTTCAAAAGCCGCCTCCAATAAGTATGAAAACATTGTGTCGCCTCACACATAATCCACATCATAGGAAAAATGGCGTTTGGTCCCGCGGCAGCGTGACACGGCTCAGTGTTTCCCTTGCTTGACCTTTGTCAGATGGCAGCCCAGAGGGGCGTTGCTCTGCTGTGGAGCAGCTTGTGCCCACTCAGATGTTCAATATCTAATATTTCATGAAGCTAAGAAAGGAGCGTGGGGAGTTGTGTATGTTGGGGTTGCTTTCTTACTTGTTAATTCATTGTGATGACTGCAGTCGGGCAACGGATGCCTCGACGCTTGAAGGGACACCAAGAACAAATCCACTGTTCCGTAACGTGCAAGTCGGACAACGCTCAGACGTCTCCACTCATTCGGCTCAGCGGACCATGAGACCTGATGAGGGGGCGTCCTGGTAGCCGAGAGTTTAAGACCTATACCGTGTGTCACCATATAGTCTGAGTTCTGGGGGTAATGTTGACAAAGATGTCCGACTTTAGAAGGGTTTAGGAAAGAACGTCTGACAGTTCCCCCACAGATGGACCCTGAGTTACTGAGCCGGAGGACTCACTATATCACTGAGCACCTTAGGGTCCTTGTTCGTGTGTATTTCTACGCTAACATATCTTCACATATTTAGTTTGAGAACATTGGAACTTGTTTGATAAAAAAAAGAGGAAAGAAAGTCAAAAGTAAAAGCTACAAAGCTTTATGAGGTCGTGTGTTTATTTGAATGTGTCTATATCCACCCATGCTGTGTTGCAACTTTCGGAAACTAATTAAAACGAAAAAGAGTTTTCTGCAACTATTATGGGTTTCAACAGCCGTTCTGAAGCTGAAACACGACGGTAACCTGAGTTGGGACTTACAAGGTGTTTGTGCTGGACATCGTTCAAATGCATGGGGTGCAACGTTTCCAGCTAATAGTCTGTGTTACTGTTTATTTGAATCTTTTCCTCCCACACCAAGATTTTTTTTATCGATGCACGCCACTTTCTTTCTCCCTCAAGTTTCCTCTATTGAAATAAATTCAGATTTATTTCAGCACTTTTACAGCACTTGCTATATCACTGCCTCTCCCCCCCCCCTCAGGCCCCCCAGAGCCTCACAAACCCCCTGCTGCTACCAGCTGACGGGGAGAGAGAGGGAGGAAGAAAATAAAAGCAGGGGGAAGAATAACAAGGCTTCTGGGAAAACAAAACTCGTCCTGTTTCTTGGCAGTCTTCTCTTAACCCTTGTGTAGTCCCAACATTCTGTACTCCTCTTGATAAGGGTCAGAAATGACCCACCTTCGCTTAACCCCAAAAATAACAAACACATTTGATGGAATGTTTGAACCCCAAATCTACTTGACATGCACAACTTGCCGTATATGTCGCAAACTTTGTAAATAGTCTGGGCAAAAAACTAAAGGGAAACAGTGACTTAGGCAACATAGTTGTATATTGTTATATGCTGTACAATGAATTAAACTACAAAATACTAGACTTCTTCCATTTTAGTGGCCCCACCCACAAGGTGTATAAACAGCATCAATAAATTAGAATAAAGTAAGATAATAGATACAAAACAAAAATGTGAAGAACACAAATGGAAGCACATTCTGTGTCGTCCAAGCCTATTATCTGTTATAATGTGCTTATAGCACTCTATGATTTTCGTTATAAGCACTCATAATAGCCATAACACTTTATAACAATATATAACCAACAATCATTAATTACTATATCACAATACTTCATCATTGCTGGTCACTCACTGACGTTTATTTTTGCAAGGATTATAGTGTATTATAATTCTCAGTTTTAAGGCATTATAATGTTCTTATACTGCATTATAATCATCTACTATATGCAGTATAATCATAAAACACATAAGGAAAGTTTATAATGCATTATACACATAGTAAACATCTTATTATTCATCATGAATTGTTTCAAAATGTGTTATGATTGTTGTTTTGAAGCATTATGAATATTTATGACTTATAATCATACAGTGCTATAAGCAGATCATAACACATTGGTGTCATAGTAGGACAGTATTCTGTTTACAGACACATTTCTCACATGTGCAGCGCACAGTATTTGTTCTGCATCCTCTACAACCATCTGATACATATTCCCTTACAACGTGTTGGGCTCTGAAACGTCGACTCGTGGCCTCAGCAAAGAGAGAACTGGGGGTTCTTGTCATCAGCAGCACTTTTATAGCAGATGATGTTGCCTCTGACTGCATTCTCCATTAGTATACAATGCTTTGAAGAGTTTCTTTTTAAAGTTTTGTCTGTGAGCTTGTGTGGTTTCGTGGAGCGGACAAGCCCAAGAAAGTGTTTTGTTCAATCAGTATCAGATATTCTCAGTGTGTGTGTGTCTATTTGTATTGTTTTGTGTGTGTGTGTGTGTGTGTATAAATTATTCTACTGCTGCCAGGTTAAAACTCAGCCTAAGACAATCTTTGTAGCCTGTAGGTGTACAGCTGTCATGGAAATCTAAACCAATGCAGGCTTTTACTTGTTCTACTGTGAGGGTTACTTTAGGAACAGTCATCAAATGTAAAGGTGTCTTAGTGGCAGGTCTGAAGTTAATAACCCTTTCACCAACTGTGGCACATGGGAAACACAAGAAGTACTCATCTACATCTGTTGGTGGTGGTTCAGTGTCTGATGTGATGTTTCTTGAGTTTTATCCTGAAGATAAACTTTGACAAACTTATTTGTTTTTGACAAAGTTTTGTGTTTGTTTTATTTTTCTTTTTTTTATTGCAAATACATATACAAAAGATTCTTTAAAAGACAGTACAAATACATGGCAAGATCACAGAGGAAGGAACAAAAAAATAAAGAGTATTGTGAACGTCAGTTCTTTGTTATTGAGAGAAAAGGAAATGGAGCTTAGAGCAGACGGCCCCTCTGGTGATCGCACAAACAAAAGAAAAAGAAAAAGTGTAAAAACCTTGGAAGTGAGATAACATTTTTCTAGTTCTTTCAGCCGTATAGTTAAAGTCCAACTCAAAGGAAATTCACAAATAACAAATAATCCGTACACAAATTGTTAGATAATCCCCCCCCGACCCTCAGGAAAAAAGGCAAATACATACTTAAAATAGACATTTAGATAACATAAATAAACAAAAAAAAGACGATTACAGCGTGTACCATTTTTGTGTAAGTACCTCCTGGGTGGAAATTTAAAAAAAGGGGGAAATTATATGCCGTCTACATTTACAAAGAGGACAATTCATTAGTTATAAGAATAGTATGCAAAATAATTACTTTAAAATAAAATTAAAGCGAATAAATAAATAAAGTTTCAAACTGGGTTTGAGGGTGAAGGGAGTGTTTTGGACACCAGTGTGGTGGGAGACTGCAGGGGGGTGGGGGTCAACGGTGACTTCCTGTAGCTGTCAAACACACACTGTTGGACGGTAAGTGTAATCTCAGCTGTGGCCGTTGTGCACACACACACAAACACGAGCATACAAAAACAGTTTGAGTGTAAAAATCCAAGGCACGGATGGTGGACAGGGCTGCAGTCTCCCCCGTCAAGACAGCGTTGTGAAAGCAGAGCCTCTCTCTTCCTCTGTATTGCCTCATAGCTTCTTTTCTTTTTCCCCTCTCGATGATCACGACGCGTAAGGTGGGAAAACAAATCGACAGCATAACAGCTTATAAACTTACTTGCTGAACGGCACAGAAGAGAGAGAGCGAAGAGAAGCAAAACATGGAAATCGAACAGAAAACCAAAATCGGCGCTACCATGAGTGGGTTAGCTGCTAAACTGTGTGAAATATAAAGCTTTGTTGTTTTGTTTTATATCTACAGGTAGAAATAATTACCCAGACCCCCCCCCCCCCCCTTCATGGGTTACAAACTGCCAGCGTGTGAAGAAATAAAACCAAAGAGAAACATACACAGTACCTACTGAAATATCAACAATCAATAAGTCCTCACAGAGGATTTTCCTAAGTCTCTCCATCTCTCTAAAAATATATATATATATATTTATATATAAAGTTTCTATCAAGATATAATAGCAAGGCACGATGTGAGCCAATCACAAGTCCAGCTCTCCTCTTCTTCCTCTTCTTTATTCAAGTGTCTGATTCAGGGAGCAGATCAGGAGGAGGAGCTCTCCCTGCAGTAAAGTGTTCTGTATGTCAGATCTGCTTGGCTGTACATGTCTGTCAGCGTCTCTGTGTGTGTGTGTGTGTGTGTGTGTGTGTGTGTGTGTGTGTGTGTGTTTGTGTGTGTGTGTGTGTGTGTGTTGCCTCTCAGGGTCTGGTGAGCTGGGTGTAGACAGGGGCCTGCTCCCAGTGCTGCGGGCTGCTCTGAGGGATGGAGGGCACCCCCGTGTTGTCGGTTATGGGCGTGTACATGGGCCTCTGGCTGGTGGGGCTGCTCATGTAGCAGATAGTCGAGTACAGCCCCGAGCCCTGCCCCGCCCCCGCGTGGCTGTAGTAGGAGGATGCGGCGGCGCCGCCCCCCTGGTGGTCGGAGTAGTCGTACTGCTGCGCCCTGGAGATGGTGGCTGGGTAGGAGGAGGAGGGGGGGCTGTAGTGCTGCAGGTTGAAGGGGCTGTTGTAGGCGACGTGCTGCGGGGAGCCCTGCTGCTCGGTGTAGTGGCTCGGGCTCAGCTGCTCCGTCTTGATCTGGGTCCTGTGCTGCGCCTGAGCCGCCTCTGAGCCTCCACTCCCCAGAGGGGTCAGAGTGTGCTGCTGCTGTCCCTGCTGGTTTTGGCTTTTCGCCAGCCAGGCCGCAGCGGCTCCCGCCTGCGGGCTCACCGGCGCGCCGCCGCCACTGCTGATGCTGTAGCTGCCGGCGTAGGTGACCGGCGCGGCGTTGCCGGAGCCGGAGCCGGGGTGCCCGTTGGGCGGGAGGTACTGGTCGAATTCGTTGACATCAAAGGTCTCGATGTGGGAGATGACGTCGCTGCTCAGCTCACCGATGTCCACGTCGCGGAAGTCGATGTTGAGCTGAGAGCGGAGACCACCTTCACGCTTCAGGTCCATCTTGCCTGAGCTGACATCAGTCTTTGGGGTGGTGGGAGGAGTAGGGGGCCCCTGGGAGCCTGGAAGTTAAAAAAAACATGACACAGATAAGACTTTGCTCTCTATGTTCATTTAGTTTAGTACTTTTTAAGCAAACGAACTAATTTATTTATTTAAGAGTTTTGAGTCTTCAGAGAAAAAGCGGAGCAGATGAGGCATTCAAACATGCACTGAGGTGACTGTGTGACTACTTAGAGTACTGAAAAAAACACTCTTCCTTGCTCACCTGAGTGCTCACTCGGTGAGTGCACCTCTCCCATGCTGGAGGCCGGGGAGTCCGCCTGCTGGAGAGCTTTGAAGATGGCAGTGGGGGAAATGTGCGTCTGCTCGGTGCCGTCCTCCGACTCGCTCTGTCCGTTCTTTACGGACTTCCTCCGCCGGGGCTGGTATTTGTAGTCGGGGTGATCCTTCTTGTGCTGCACCCGGAGCCGCTCGGCCTCCTCCACAAACGGTCGCTTCTCCCCTTCGTTGAGAAGTCTGCGCGTAAAAAGAAACCATTTATTATCCAACAACTTTAAACGGCTCACTTTAAATGCTCCATTCCAAGACTATTTCAATAATTTCAATCATACAGCCGTTTCGGTTTGCAGAGGAGATAAAGAGTAAACGTGCTAAACTGAAACTAGGTCAAATAATAAAAAAACAACAGTCCTTACATCCTAATCTGTGCGTAAAAGTGGAGCATCCACACTTACCTCCAGAGTTTCCCCAGAGTTTTGCTGAGCTCCGCGTTGTGCAGGTGAGGGTACTGATCCGCCAGCTTCCTCCGCGCAGCCTGAGCCCACACCATGAAGGCATTCATCGGTCTCTTCACGTGAGGCTTGTTCTTAGAAGATCCGTTAACGCGCACTGGCATGGGCACGAGAGTCCAGTCGTAGCCCTTAAGCACCTGGGACACCGCCTCGCGGATGCAAGCGGGGAACTTATCGTCGTCCTCCTTCTTGAACTCTCCTTCCACACCGAGCAGCCCATTCTCCGACGGCCGGGTATTCTCGGTGTCGGAGCCCGAGCCGGACGGACACGGAGAGCCCGCGGAGTCCTCGGACATGCTCGGGCTCGGGGCGTCGGAGAGACACTTGTCTTGTTCCTCCGTCATCTTCAGGTAAGGGTCAAGGAGATTCATACGAAAAACTGTTTGGTGCCAAATTACGCGTGAAACGGAGAAGTTGCTTCTGCTTTCTTGCGAGAGGGAAAACGTCTCTAAATGGACTTCACCTTGCCAAGATGAGTTCGATCTTTCAACTGAGATAACTGCTCTGAAAAACTGGTGACTGATTCTCTTTCGCTCCGGTGCGTAAAACCGATTTGGAGCGAGAGTGTCTTTACGCACGGCTGTCTGACGGACTCCGAGGATGAGTGCGTTCTCCGCGAGCCGGTCCGCACTTGAAAAAGGCAAAACAAAAAAGAACAAGCCAGCTGGTTAGAGTTCACTCTCAACTTTGTAGGATGAAACGGTAAAGTGCTCCTCTCTGGTCTCCCAAATACAATCCCCAGAACGCGTGAGTGCTTTGAACTGCAAACGCTTCGCATGCGGGCTTTATAAGAGCGCTGCCATGCCGCACAGGAAAGCCCGGACCTGATTGGGCGACAGCACGTGACGCCAAAGTGAAGGAATTCGATACCGTCCCCCCCCCCCCCCACTAACCAGCACACAAAACACACACAGACACTTTCCCTCAAACATACACACACTGCCCACGAGCCAGTATATATGCAGCTTAATCCGGCTTGATTTTCCTATAGATTTTAACAAGGCTATATGGGGAAAGAAGCATTTAATCAGACAAATGGAATATATTTATTTATGCGCTATAATTGAGGAAAAAGTGATTTTTATTATGAGGGAAAGTGTTGAAAGACAAATAAATTCACTGCAAACGCATGGCAAGTACAATTAAGCAAATAAATAGATTATAGACTAGATTATCAGCAAAACTGTGTACTTTCTGACATTCAGCATCCCAAACAGCTAAACACACTTTATATTCTTACTTTCAAAAACAGTTTCTTGTGTTTTTAATAAGTGTCTTTCTCCACGCTGGGTCCATACCTACAGTTACACCTTGTGGTCAACAGGGGGAGACAGCAGTCTAGGAACCCGGAAAGTTTCCTCCCTTCCCTCTCTGAGAGCAGGAGGAGGAGGAGGAGGGAGAGGAGGGAGAGGAGGAGGGAGCTCCAGCTCCAGCAGACTGCTGCAGTGCAACAGTTGCTGTCAAACTCCAGCTCCTGATTCGTATCGCTCATTTCCAAAAACAGAGCATCTATCTAGTAAAATGGTGAATTTTGTTCAATTTGCTGACTTGTCAACTTCCAAACGGGCCTTCTTAAAGTTGGGAACATTTTAAGAGCTGCGCTGCACAGTATCATAACTACTATTTTGAAACGGAACTTACATGGTATCCTTCAGAGGCAAACATTAACTAAAATGTTTTACTCGTCTCACATCATTTTGTTTTGTTGAACTTTGTAAAAGAACACACAACACATTTTTAGCATGTCCGAGGAAGGGTCGAGATCCCTTCACTTAAGTTCAAGTCGCAGTAAAACAATAAAAAGTACGACATTCAAAAACTTAAAGGGGAACTATGCCCATTTCCAAAACCCCTATATGTTATTCCCATGGTCCAAGACGGTCCTAAAATATTACTAGAAGCTCTCTCCCAAACCCCCCCCCCCCAAAAAAAAAACAAGAGCGCTATAGCTCAAATGTGTGATGTCATCAACAATAAAGTGTGGAACTGCTCCATCGACAATGAGTTGTTATAGATGACATAATGTCCTGATTACATGTCCACATTTTCTGTTTCTGAACACGGCAATAGAAATAAAAAAGAAAGAACACAAAGTCAGTCTCTCATTCATTGTCTATAGATCAGCTCCACTCTCCGTTCTCCGAGGCCATGGGAATAACATATTAGCATTCTTAATTTAGGTGGCGTTCCCCTTTAATTCAAAGGACAATAGTAGTCTTGGCAAGCAAACAAACAAAATAAAAGTACTCACTATCAGAATGCCCCCCTTTTGTAGTTGTAATTCTACATAAAACATTGCATTAATATTGCTGATATGACTATATAAGAGGCTTTTTTTAAATGTTGCCGCTCATTTGAATTACTTTACATACTGTTGGTAGTTTGACAATACATCATATTTCTGTTTGTAATGGACCATCTTGACCTGCAAAGTAACCAGTAGAGGTGACGTTAGCTGTTACAAACATTTAATGGAGTCATTTCTGCAATATTTCCCTCCAAAATGTACTAAAGTAGAAGCAAAAAAGTCGCAAAAAACAGAAGTAATCAAGTACAAGTACCTCAAAATTGTAGTTAAGCACTGTTCTGCAGTTCTATTTGCTGTCTAGTACTGACAACTGCATTAATTTGCATCATCTATGAATGTATTTTCACCTCCCCTAACACACACACGCACACACACACTCTCCGTTTGTCCTCCCTCTCCAATCACGGTGACGTGAGGAGCTCTGCTCTGCTCCCTGATGCTAACCTGCCTGCGCACGCCCCCCTTTTGATTGTTTATTATGCTTTGTGGAGATGTGGAAATGTAAATCTCAGTTCAGCCTAATGTGGACAACATGTGCTACCTGAAGTCGCCTTTAATAGCTCACAGATGTCAGGTGGAGCTATTTTCACCGCTCCGCCTGCTCGGCCGCTCTGGAGCTGCACACGCGGACACCCGCAGCCTTTTTTCTTCTTCTTTTCCTCCCCTCAACAGATACAAACCTTTTTCTTTCTCCCTGTTATGTTGTTTGTTTGCGTTCACTGCTTGAACTCTAAATCGCTCTGTGATGCTTTCTCCCCCCCGCCCCCGACCAATTAGGCCCGCGGTTCCGAAACACTAAAGCCTTAACATGAGCGGCCTCCTTCGCTTCCCCCACCCCCCCGAACAGTGTATTTACACGAGACGTGCTTATTTAAGATACTCGCTCCGAACACAAATAGGAGGGAGCAGCTCGGCTCCGCGTTAATAGCTCGTGGGACGACGCTGCGGTCGAGCGCGCGCCGTTGCACAGTGCCACCGAAAACGGCAACCGCGCTCGCTTTGTAGAGCGACGGGGGCGTGGAACGACTCGCAGAGCTTGTGTGGCACAGGGGTGGAGAACACGGTGCTGCTGTTGACGGAGTAAATAGAGTTTTGTAAAGAAGGGGAGCTGGGAAAAGAGGGTGAGGTGGAAGGCGCAAGGGGGTATCCGAAGTGTAAACGGTAGGGGGAGAAGAAGAAGAGTGTTGGCGATGACAAGAAAAACAAGAGAATTAGTAGGAGGGACGACTATGTGAATAAACCCTTTCCTTGGACGTCGGCAGTGATGAGCAGCTGCAGATCTGCACACCTCAAACAACCACTCATTGTGGCAGCGAACGTGACCTCCACTCCCACGTGCCATCTTGTCAAAACTGTAAAAAAGTATCCGAGATCCATACGGTTGAACGCACTCCTCCTCCTCCTCCTCCTCCTCCACCACCACATGTCATCTAGGCAAGTTGGACTCCAAAAATGATTCATAGGACAACTGTTGGATAATAAATTCAGTCCGTTCAACTCTCTGAAGTGAATGTTTAATGTCAGATCTTGAACCTTTTTGGGGGGGGGGTTTCTGCCTTCAACCAATTTCACTCAAAGAAATTTCAAATTTGTCAAACGGTTTGCGAGAGATCTGTCCGTGGCTTTAAAGCTGCAGCAGAGTGAACGTGAAGTCCATTCTGTTGTGTTTTTTTTAAAGTGGCACCGGGATGACGACCAGAGGCCGGTTTGGTGCGGCGGGCAGAGCGAGGTTCTTGGGAAACTTCTCATCTCGACTTCGAGCTACAGCGTAAAAAATCTGAGCAAACAGTGGGAGTCAACTGCTAAACCCGGTGTGCTTTTCTTTGGGAATCCTGTCGGGCCTGCTTTGCATTTCTGAGCTTGGCAGCTCTGAGGAGTGACAGATGTGTGTCTGGGTTGCGGATTCTATTTTAAAGGTGCACCGTTGAAACAAATGAAACATTAGTATATTAGTTTAAATTGACTTGAATTACTCTGGTATAATGACCATAACCCAAATCATGTTTGGGAGGGTTTGGAAGCAATCTGTCTGAAGACATTTCCCACTTTTTCTATCGTTTCCCTCAGAAAAAGGATAATACGCAGCATTCACGCACAATATGGGAACAACAGGAAAAAAAACTCCCGCTGTTCTCCAACCACTCCTGCAGCATGAGTGGCACTTTGCTTCCATGTATTCCTGATACATATATTCAGCATAACTAAATACAGAACTTCAACATTGCGTTTATACCCCGAGCTCAGCAGGAGGTGATGTATGAAAATGATTTGAAACATACGGAACATATGAACGATTGAAATAAGAAACTTTGTTCGCGTAGCTTAGTGAGTGAGGAACCTCAGTTCAAATACATCAACATTGACCTTTTCGTTTCACGCATAACACCAACAGCGGCCTCCTGGGTGAAGGTCCTGTGTTTGACACATCGGTTGCATTCGTATTTTTATTGAAGCATTTCTTTGACAATTTTGATCCATTTGCTCTGGAAGAAGTTTCATCCTCGCTGTTTTTATTGTAGCCTTGTTCCGGACCTGTGAATCGCTCATTGAAACAACCGAGTAAATCAGAGGTTTGTAGGGTGGTGGGAGGTCATCTTCCTGTGTCCGAGCAAGAAAAACAGCAACCTCCATGAAACATGGTTACATAAAAAAATGGCGACGAGATTGACACAGATGTACAGGTTGTTGTATGGGTATATTCCTGTCATCATCGTTTGATCTTGAGTTCCGTAAATTATCTCATAATGCGAGAAATTGCACCTTAATAAAATGAGGACTATTTAACTGTGTAGTTGTGTAGACAGCGGGGGGAGAACGGGAGGATGCGAGCTATAAATACATGGTTAAGAATGTGAAAGGAAGCGCCTCATCTCTCGGTGCCCGTAGCTTTCAGATAGGTGCGATGTGCCGTTCTGGGGATGGGGAGTGATTAATAGCCATCGCGAGGCTGTGTGTGTCTGATCTGAGCGTCTGGGCAGCGGGTGTCTGTTGACTGAGCGTCATTCTGCTCCTCGTGCTGTTTGAACAACACTTAGGAAAGACCCAGGCCACTCCCAGGGAGGATTGCTCAGTCTGCCATCCATCACCGACCCAAATCCTTCTGCCAGAACTCTCCTGTTTCTGTCTCAAAATTTCATTTTCCTTGTTTGTTTTTATTGGGGCATTCAAATGATTAGCTCAGCAAAAAAACCATGGGCTGAAAGCCGTCCGAGATAATCGCATCCAAAAGTTAGCGAGGCAATGCCGCTTCTCGGGACTAAATCCTGCAGAAAACGGACCCGATCGCTTCGTGCCCATGCATTTCCCGGCAACCCGAGTTATCGCTGATGAATAAAATGTGCGTTAGCTG